AAAGTAGACTGTGTCCCTATGGTAAAAAAAATATATATCAGAAAATACCTTCCAAGTTCTTTCTCCCCCCCCCCAAAAAAAATATCTCATAAAGTTGGAAGTAGTCCCACAAACTACTTTTCTTGCCCTGCACGTGGCAGTGGAGAATGGAGCAGGAAAGCAGGTTAGTGGAGAGATGTGGCTGCCTTGGGGGTGGGTGGGTTAGGGATCTCTCTCACACCCACCCACCCACCATCCTTTCCTTGGGAATTCTGCACAGACGCAGAGAAAGCTTCGGATAGAGGATTTGGGGGATGTGCCTCTGCCCTGAGATCCCAAGGAAAGAACGATTGCCAGGAAAGGGGGTGGGGGTAATTTGCCTCTTATCCTGTTCTGAGGAAGGAAAATCTTCCCTCCCCATTTTCAAGCCGTTCGCAAAAATGCCTCATTCCGAGCCTTCAATCCTGCAATATGCTGAAGGCTTGAAATGGAACGTTTTTGCAAACCGTTTGAAAATATGGAGGGGGATATTCCTGCCTCTCCCCCTGTTCTAAAGGTCAGCACAGACTGAGAACAAGATAAGAGACAAAATCCCCACTCCCCATTTTCAAGAGGTTTGAAAAATGTCACATTCCAAGCCTTTATATTATCCAGGATTGAAGGCATGCAGGAGGGAGGATTTTGTCTCTTACCCTGTTTTCAGTCTGTGACCTTCAGAACAGGGGAAGAGGCAGGAATATCCCCTCCATATTTTCAAACGGTTTGCAAAAATGTTCCATTTCGAGCCTTCAGCATATTCCAGGATTGAAGGCTCGGAATGAGGCATTTTTGCGAACGGCTTGAAAATGGGGAGGGGAGATTTTCCTTCCTCTTACCCTGTTCTGAAGCTCAGCACAGACTCAGAACAGGATAAGAGGCAAAATCCCCCCCCCCTTCCTGGCAATCGTTTTTTCCTTGGGATCTCAGCGCAGACGCACATCCCCCAATTGCTTTATCCGAAGTCTTCTCTACATCTGTGCAGAGCTCCCAAGGAAAGAATGCTGTGTATGAGTGTGTGAGAAAGAGAGGGGGAGGGGGAGGGTGTGTGTGTGTTCATTCGTTCTGCCAGGAAGAGTCCCCCCCCCCGCCGCCGCTAGGCCAGAGCAGCACAGTCACCTGTTCCGCGGCCAGCAAGCAGGGCAGGCGAAGGGCAGGATGCAAGGAGAACTTGGGTCATTGTGGCTGCAGGCAAGCAGATAGTGGGACAGAGAGGGTGGGGCTGGTGGGCTTGCTGCTTCCTGCACTTGAAAAATAATAAGCCCTCCCCCTCTAATAAGCCCAAGGCCATATTTCGTGGGTCAAAAAAATATAAGACCCTGTCTTATTTTCGGGGAAACACGATAACTGTCCATTTAACTTAAAAATATTCCCCCAGAAGATGGGAAGAAATATATGACCTCTCCCATTGCCCCATCCTACCATAAAATCTAAACGTGCTTTATTCCATTTAAATCAATTCACAAGAACAATCTATTTTTTCTTCCTTCCTTATGGAATTCTTATATTATTAAGTAATATTTTAATACTTTGCTGCTCCATTCAGTTGTCCATCAAAGAGGAAATTGAAGATGAAGAAAAAACTATTGAAGATTATGTTGATAAAAAAATCAGCAATTGGAACATCACCTCAATTGAACATATGTATTCAATTGCTGCCCCATGTCTGCATGAGAAGAAGAACCGGAGGCCAGATATTGAAAGGGTACCAATTTTAAATGTCATGCAACACACCCACGTATGTATGTATGTATGTATGTATGTATGTATGTGTGTATGTATATCATCTTTCCCAAAAACTAAGACCCTGACTTATAT